TCAAAGTAATATAATAATAATATATACAGACATGATCAGTTTTTATACCCTGTACCCAAAGGGTACAAGGGTATATTAGTTTTGTGCGAGTGCACATGGAACACACAGAAGGAGGCTTGGTGGACCCCACAAAGTATATATATTCTTGATCAGCATGACAAGCCGAGTCGATATAGCCATGTCCGTCTGTCCGTCTGTCCGTCTGACCGTCTGTCCGTCTGTCTGTCCGTCTGTCTGTCCGTCTGTCTGTCTGTATGAACGCAAGGATCTCCGAAAGTATAAGAGCTAGAATAACCAAACTTGGTATACAGATTCTCCTGAGACCGAGAAAGGACAAGTTTGTTCATTTTTTCTGATCCAACCCCCCACTCCCCCCCTATTACCAATTTTCTATAACTCCCATAATTCTTGGAATTTTAAACTTAAATTTGGTAGTCACATTAGGTTAGTAATTATATATCCGTATACCAAGTTTCATTATGATAGAATGATCAAAAAGAAAGTTATAGCCATATAACCAGGCCCAATGCACACATACATACATATGTACAAGTACACAAACACGCATAAGGCACGATTCTGATGTAAATGTAAATGTATGTATGCATGCATGGAATATTTTATATTTAATTAGTTAATATTTAGTTAATTAATTAAATTAATTTAGTTAATTAATTAAATTAAATTAATTAATTAATTAAATTACTTTTTTGTGGGGTGGTACAGGGTATTTAAGAGTTGAGCCTGCTCGACTTTAGCATTCCTTTCTTGTTCTCAATCTGTTTACTGCAATCAGTTTATTACAATCTGTAATTTTGGGGAGTTCTTTGTGCCATTTTGATAAGAGATTACGAATTGAATTATAGCCCCGTCGATGGTCAAATATAAACATAATGTTGTTTCCAAGTAAGTCGATTCATTTGGAAGGATAACAAAAATCTTCTCAACTTCTTTGAAATATTTTACTCACTGACCTATCAACTGATACTCGTGCCGCGCTATTTATATTTTGCTCAATTTTAATCAAATCTCCATCAAAATCGACCTCAACTTAAGCATTTACATTTTGCAGTTTAGCGGAAACAAGTGCTGGCTGCTGTTCGAGAATCAGAGTTCCTCGCACTCTCTCGCCCATCAACTACCTTCGAGTATTGTCGTCGATGAAGCGCAGCCGACGTAGTGGGCTTCAACTCTCAAGTTGGCCGAATTGCTTTTGAAAACAAAATCGAGCCACTTGAAAGTAATAAAATTGAACCGAAGCGATAGGGGAGGGGTAGAACGAGGGGCCCTATAGTTCTCCCCATTTTTGGTTGCTAGTTGGGGTCTTTCTGGTGTTAGTGGTATTTTGGATTTATTATGCACATTAATGCCTGTCACTGCCATAATATCGGATATAAGCAGAGGTGTTATCTTTGAAAGCAATATAATCAATGTGTTTGGCCTGAAAACTCTGAAATCGAAGAACAAAAAGAACTCATCACACGTCATAACTATACAATTTTTTAATCAAGCAATAATATGGTTAATAATCCGGTATTACTTTTAGGCATATTTTTAGTGGGAACAAGCTACTAAGTTGAATTAGCTTGTAATCGAAGGGCATAGTTGGTTTCACAAAACAGGTTCCTGTCGATTGTGGCTCAGCTCATTAGCATTTCACATTCAGTTCAATCGAAAGTGCTTTTAAAACTATTTCTGTTGCTGACTCCAAGTTTTAATAACTTGAGCTGAACACTATGGAGTTAGCGTGCAACTGCTCGAGCGAATTTTAGAGTAAAGCCATCTTTAATTTTTAATCGAAGTTGAAATATTTATCACGGCCGCCTCCCAAATTTAATCAAGCGCCAAACGTGGCTGCAAAACTAAACAAAAATGGCGGCAGACTTGTGTGTGTGTTGCTTAGCATGTGTGTGTATATATGTATGTATACTATATTAGTTGAGGTAGCAGAAAATTAATTAAGTTGAGAAAATGTCAACCCGGCGCTGCTAGCGTGCTACTCGTTATTTTTTTTTTTTCATTATTTTTTTATTTTTTTTTTGCAGCTGCCATTTGGTGCAGTAGTTTGTGTGTTGTACGTTCATTTTTCCCCTTTTACCTTTGTTAAGTTCTAGAGGCGCACACACATATATATATACATATATACCTACTATATGTACATATATAGGAGTACATACTCACCTACAGAGCGTTGGTGCAGCGGGCTTGTGATTTAATACCGACAACGTGTGCTTCAAAATTTGTGGTTTGAATAGCAGCTAACTTTATTTTATGATAAGTTTATAATGCTCGCAGACATACACACACACAAATGCACATGCACATACACATGCACATAGAAGCACACACATCGTACAGATGGGAATTACCGTATATAAGGCCACTAGCAATGGCGAAAAGCAAAAGCCAAAGCAAAAGCCAAATCATAAAACCAAGCTCACATGCACATTCAAAAAGCTGCGAGCTTTGCAGTTCTTCCCTTTTACCTCAGTGCTCCTATACACACATATCTATATACAAATGTGTGTGCGTGTGTGTGTGTGTGTGTGTGTGTGCATGTTTTTTTAACTCTGATGTTGTAAAATTTGTTAAAATTGCACTAAAATGCAGCAGCCGGCAATGCCGTTGGGCAAAGTGTCTCTGAATACGTCGTGTGAAAGGAAATTATATTAGAAATTGTTTGCGCAGCGCCAACGGCAGGTGGGGCGGTGGTATTGGGAGGTATACTTGTATGTACGAGGATACCACCTGATCGCACGGAAGAGCATTGAGTGAGTGCACAAAGGTGCTAAAGTGGCGCGCTTGTCTCTAGAGTGAAAGCAACCTTCTCCCCCATCCACTCTCCCTTCTGCCCCTCCTTAAAGGCCTACACTGGATGCATTTAAAATTGGAACTGAAGTGCAAGTCCTTTCACACTTTGAGCAATTCTTGCCACGCATGCCAAACAATCAAAAGTTAAACCCTACGTAACAGTCAAAATGAAGAAGAAAAGAATGTGAATGGAATAGAATAGAAAAGAAAAGAAAAGAACGACTGAACAGAATGCAGAAGAGCAACTTGCCAAAAAGTGGCTTATGACCGGACACATCGTGGGTGGAGGTGGAGGTGGAGTAGGGGGGTAGTTACTGGATTCTGGATTCTGGAACTGGCTAGACAAACATCGAGTGAAAAATTTTCAATTTTGTATGCAAAACTGTGACACAGCTTGATAGTCACGCACAGCAAATGGAGAAAGGGGAATGGGCAATGGGCAATGGCAATGGCAATGGCAATGGCAGTGGTTGTGCGGAGTGTGAATGCGGGGAGAGCCATAAGGATGATGATGTTGCTCCAGCTGCTCCTTTTACTGATTTTGTGTGCTGATAGGCGCAAAAAGTCAAATTGTGGCAGCCAATTAACAGTGACAACGACAACGCCCCCGGCATCTCTCTCTTTCTCTCTCTCCTCTGGGCTGGGCTGGGCTAGTGTGGTGTGGTCTGGTCTGAGCAGGACGAGGGCAGGGTGTGGAGGGTTGTGGTGTGGAAGGGCAGTTAAGAAAAGCGAACGACACACTGACAATGCTGGGCAATGAGTTTTGAGGCGCATCGGCCAAAGGGCGACAAGTCAAACAAACTGGCAAACTGCGCACACAATGACCGTGCAAAAGACGGCAAGGAGGACGACGACGGTGACGAGGACGATGACGAGGAAGGGTTAAGCAGTGACAAAGGGACATGCTCGTCCGCCCGGCCGTTTATAAAGTTGACAAAAACCGTTAGGCGATAATGATCTGGCAGTTTTGCGCTATCAGCGACACAGAAACCAACCGAGCATTCCACCAACCCAGCAGCCAGCCACGCATCCACAATCCTTAGAGAAACACCAGTCGAATAACCCAAGCAAATGTTTGTGTTCAACTTGTTCACAGTAACAACTCGTTAAGATGCACCAAAAGCCAAAGCGTTATTTACACAAATGACAGTAAATAATACTTTTTTGTTCAGTTGTTTCTGCTCTTCAAAATGTTAAAAAAAAAAAAAAAGATGATTCTTTTAGAGTTCAAATGAATGTTAAAATTTATATGCAACAACGATTTTGATTAGACTTTGGAATATCTTTCTATACAAACTCAAAACTATCGATTTGCTTCAGATATCTTTATAAACAGAAAACTTGTCCTTATAATATTGACGTTTCAACCGATCGCTCCCATGGCAGCTATCTGATATCGTTAGCCGATATTGTTGAAACTTAAGATTATGGTGACAGGATTTTCTTTAGATATCTAGGTAAGCAAAAAATTATCCTGCTAAGAGTGATACCAGCTATACCAGATAATGAAGCTATCTATGGTTTGTAGTGAATTTTCTTTGGACAGATGGGCGAACCGATTGACTCCTCCCATCATGCTGATGTTCATATAAAATATATGTACAAGTATATGCGGTTTCCTACTTCATTTGAGTTACATTTTGTATGAAAACGTAATATTCATTCAAACCAAGAATTTGAATTTAATTTGAAAATAGGCCTTGATAGGTAGAATGGAGACAATACAGAAACTTACAACTATTTGTTAGCAATACATTTTGGAAGATATACAAGTAGTGGGGAGAACAGACAACCGAACTACTTGTATTCTGCTGCTCATATACGAGTACATAGAGATGAAACAAAGTCTACCTTCCACTCTGCAATCAGAAAAGTTTCTTTCGAAGTCGTTCTGTCATTCGGCAGACAAATGAAATTGCAATTTGGTGGAATTGGGAAAGCGTTCAAGGAAGCCAAAACAGAGAAAAGTGCTTATACTTGTAATACTGACAATAGTAATGCTCAACAATATTACAAGTATTCCAATGTCGGTCTACAGGTTTTATATTTTGTCGGAAGCGTTCACCTGTCAATGCCTGAACGTAAAATATACACATACATATGTATATTGTAGAAAACGTAAGTGTTCAACGAAACGCTTAGATTTATATACAATTTTGAAACAAATTAAATTTTGCTATTTGCCAGTGATGGCGAATCCCCTGGCGGAAGCTAACCTCATCAAAGTCAAATACGCCTTTCAGATCGTCTCGGAGGCCGGCCTGTGCTTGGGCATCAAGGCCAAGGATGGCGTCCTCATAGCCGTAGAACGATCAATGGAGTGTCGAAACACTCCGTCCCAGAAGATATTCCAGGTGAATGACAATGTGGTCTGTGCCGTGACGGGCGTCCAATCGGACGCCTCCCTTCTGATGAAGCAGGCGCTCATGAGTGCCGAACGCTACGAAAGTCGCCACAGGCGACCCATGTCCTGTGCAGAGGTGGCATTCGAGCTGAGTGATGCGAAGCGCACCTACAACCAGGCCGACCAACTCTGGACCTTGGCCGTATCCATACTCTACATGGGCTGGGACGCCAAATGCTGTTATCAACTGATACAGTCTCATCCCAACGGCTCCTACACTGGCTGCAAGTCGGCATGCATTGGAAACAAATTCGACATTGTATCGGCCATGCTGAGGCAGGAGTTGTGCGGCATTGAAGCCATCACCTTGGAGGAAGCCAAACAGCTGGCCATCAAAGTTCTGAGCAACAGCTTCGCCGACTTTTCAGCAGCCAACTACGAAATAGCTACTTTGCAGCGTGCTCGCAGTAGAACGGTCTACGATGTGCTGCGAGGCGCCGATGTGAACAAGCTAATTAGGTAGAGCGGGAATTGGGAGTCCTTTACAGCGATAAAAACCACACCAAACAAGCACATGTCTGCGCAAAACACACATACACACTTGTCACATGAAAATTAATAAGTTTATTGCTTACTGTTTTGCTGTTAATTAAAATATTGTACTAAAAGAAACATCGTGGGTTCTTGATTGCTAGCAAATATTGCAAATATTGGGCTTAACATTTATTTTATTAAATATTTATTTATGTCAACAAACATTGTCGACATAAGAACAATTAGCTAGGCAGGCCTAAGTAGGAGGTAGTAGGAAGGCCTTTGGTAGGATAGTCGAAAAAGGTCTCTCTATTTATAAACCAGTTAACCATTAAAGGCTTTCACTCAAACAGTCTGGGCAAATATTCAATTATTAACTGATGGTATAGAGGAATTTATTAAGAAACAATTTCATAGACTGAAGGCATATTAAGACTCAAACATTTATTTTTTCAAATTCCAAAATAATGCACTACATTTATGGCCATAAAGATTCGAAACCAACCGCAGTTTCTTTGCACAAACCCTTTTAAAAACGTATGAAAGATCAGCCTGAAATGTTGCAATCGAAAACAGGAAATGAGAGGATGAGTCAAATACGAGGCAAATAATTTAAATAAATTAATAACAATTGTCAGATACGAGTATTATATGAGATATGAAAAAACCCGCTGACTAGTGGACTGCAGCATCTCCATGTCAGGACAATGACGTGCGCCTGCCTGGCCGGAAACGTGCGAGCCAGTTCCGATTGCTTTTGGTGTGTGCTTACTGTATTCATATACAAGTATGTGTGTACATATGTATGTATATATACTCTAGTAAAGTAAGGGTATGTATGTGTGTGCGTTGCACGCATTGCTGCATCAACACTTTTACTTTTGTCTGACCCGGCACGAGCTTAAATCACAGCTAGATGGCTCACGTGCCGCCACAGAGATCTGCAATGGCCATGCAGAGGCCAAGACGAACAGGAAGACGAAGGGAAGGGCCCACAAACAATTTGGTTGCACGACGAGCGTGAAATTTAATGTTAAAGCCAAATGGCATGCCATTGTGACCTAACTAGCGCAGGAGACCCCTAGCACCTAGCTACTATGTAGATTATAGCCACTCCCCTGACCCAGCACATGGGCACTAAATTGAGTCAAGAGACGTCGCTGACGAACTTCGGTGCTAATGAACAGATAAAGGCGACTGGGGCGAATGGGGCGAACGGAGATTCGCGGCACATCAAAAGCGTGCCCCTAATAGGCACAAGGCCAGATGGCAACAAAGCAACGCAGCAACTGAGCTGCAGCTGCAGCAGCAGCAGCAGCAGCAGCTCATTAAAAAGTAAGCGGGGCGAATAAAGCCAGCGACGATGACGACGATGGTGCCTAGGATGAGCATTAGGATGGATATGGGGATGGGGATGAGGATGAGGATGGCAACAACAATGTGCAGTGCCTTATGCAAAACAACAGGACTAACAGCCAAGAGCCGAGAGGCAAGCGCCAAGCAACAAGAACTGGGCTAAATATCAAAAAGGAGAGCAGCGAGTACAAGCTGGGCGAGCAGTGTGGTCGTGGTCGTAGATGGGGCGATGGGGAGGCAGTGACAGCAAACAGAAGGCAGTAAGTGAGCTGCAGCGACAGCAGGAGCAGCAGGAGCAGCAGCAGCCTTGAACCGTTTTCCCCCTTACGCATTTGCAGCTCATTTCGGGCCAGGCCAATAAAACGCACTCTCCCGTCCAAATGCACTGCCATTAGAATGGAGCTGCAGCAGTAGAAAAATGTGAATCAAAGCATTACCGCGGACTGCAGCTTCAATTTATGAAAATGCTCCAATTCGAAACTCCCCATTACCCCTTAGGAGTTAAAGTGCCAAATAGTGTTCGATAATACAATTTGGCAGGGCAGTTCAATACGATTATTTGTTTAAAAGCTGTGCTATATTTTGAATAAGACCCATGCCACCACTCATTAGTGAACAATTAACAAACTTGGTTTGTGTAATCTATACAAGAATTCAAAGAAGAAATGAATGCTAAACGCAACTCTTAAATACCCTGTACCACCCCAATTTGGAACATTATATTGAGCCGGGTTAAGGCGGGCAATACTGGCTAGTTAGAAATAAGAAAGATAAAAAAATAGAACTAAATCGGCAATATATAATTGCCTGCAAATTTCCACCCATCGCTTTGTATTTAGTTTACTGAATCACACATTTTTTAACTGTTGACATTATAAATTTGTAGTGAGCTTTATATTATATGAATTATATTTTTTTCTTTCCGCAATCTTGTGTCTATAGGTTTCTTTTTCAAATCTGAAATGTATTGCTTGTGAACGCTAATAAATACATGAGCTTTGCTTTTACAACACTACTGCGGCTACTCTACAACGGCTCCAGTAAACACTGATTGTTATCGATAAGCTCAAAGATTTCGACGACATCGACGCTTCGAATTGAACAAATTATCACAATTTAAAAATATAGATGGAATTCTCATACATAGTGGAACGATCTGTGGAGGACGCTAACAGCATTAAGATTGACAACGCCTATCGCTTCGTAGCCCAATCCGCTATGTGTGTGGGCATCAAGGCCGAGGACGGCGTTCTCTTAGCCGCTGAACGTGAATTTGTAGGTTCTAGTGTCGCGACTGCACCCCATTCCACATATTCGCAGAAGATTTTTCAGATCAACACTAACGTTGTCTGTGCCTTGGCTGGCTTGTCGTCCGATGCTTTGGCTTTGATAAAGAAGGCTCGCGAGATGGCGCAGATCTACGAAGAGCACGTTAACGAGCCCATGCCGTGCACATCGGTCGCCACCCAGCTGTGTAATGCGAAGCGGACCTACATCGAGGCTGGGGGACTGCATGTTTTCGCTGTCTCTATACTCTATATGGGTTGGGACGCAAGGTACGGCTTTCAGCTGCGTCAGTCCGAGCCTTTTGGATACCACTCGGAATGCATGGCCACGTGCGTGGGCAAGAACTCTAATGTTGTCATCAGCATGCTGCATGAGGAGCTGGCCGGCAAGGAGAAAATCATGCTGGATGAGGCCAAGGATGTGTTAGTCAAGGTGCTTGACAAGGCAGCCCCCGATTTCAAGCCAGAGAACTTCGAGGTGGCCACCTTGCAGCGTGTGGGTGGCACTACAGTCTACGAATTGTTCGATGTCGCCGAAGAAGAGGAGCTCGTCCAGCAGACCTAGATAAATAATTGCAGTCGCATATCATCCACACAAATGAATTCCGTGTTATAACAATAAATGCTTTAATCAATATATTTAACAACTTCATTGAAATATTATTATTATATATTATTATTTCAGCTGGATATGACCAATTTAATTGTCTTGTAAGTTTTCCCAAGGTTGCATTTTCAAACGGGCAAAGGTGTTCATTCATTAAAACCTTTCGTTATCTTATTACAGTGGTTTTCCAATTGAGTTCAATGTCTACAACTATGAACAATTTTGAATAATTTCATTAACAATTCCTAGTGGCAAGAAATTGAGTAAAGACAGCTAAGGATTTAGGTTTTGCTTATTGAAGGTCTCTCTATATAATTTCCAACTAAAATTACATAATATTATAAATTGGAAAAATATGATTGTAGTTTTATTTCCTTAACCGAGGTGTTGAAGATATTCAAAAATATATTCAACCTTTTTCTGGTGTTTGTAAATTAAAAGTTATTTTACCTATCGCGTTATAAAATTTATTATTATTAATTATAATATAATGTTCTTCATTTAAGTTGTTAATGTTTGGGCTTACAAAGTTTTAATAACAAACTCATTTGGTTTCGTTAACTTTTCGTTAAAAACGAAAACACTCAGCTCATAATTCAATGTAGTTGTAATTGTTCGCTATAATGCTAGGAAACATGAGCATTCGCATTGAACGAAATAACTCCTAGATCAGCATCCTTATTTTATTTAAATGATGTGTTAATATAACTATTTTACTTGATATGCACTATATTGCAACAAATTTAATCTTAAGTGCGTCTTTCTGCTGATTTGTGGGCCACATACTCGTAGGCACAATAGTTGCATTCCCCATTCAAGATGCATAGGAATATATATGTGAAGTGCTTTGGAAATGGCTGTGCAACGATTTAATTGCATTGTCTGTTCCACATATGGCCCATTTAGTGGTTTTTATTGGTTTATAGGTCGCGCAGTCGCAGCTAGCGATATAAATCCAAACAAATGGGCCCCGCGGCAGGCCACGCGCCCACACACATACATCCATATACACATATGTACCGCGTTTGTGTATAAACATACTAACGAATACGTCAAGTATGAATGTATTTGTTTATATATGTATGTATGTGTACAGATATATCCATAACTGTCAAGCTGAGCTGCTGCTGACAGCATGTCGTTGATTAAAACTTATTTAAAAGAAGCAAATTGCTGCCGCAAATCAAAAATAAAACCGCACAAGGTTGGACGAGCACAGTTGCCAGTGACTGAAGGGATCGCTAGTGGGTGGGCGAGGCGCGGCGAGGCGAGGCGAGGCACGGTCGAGGGTGCACAACTTTTTGATGCTCAGCTTGCAGCAAAAATTTAATTTGAGCCAAGCATAACACACACAAGCACACCCACACCCACACACAGACAACAACATCATGAAGCTGACGACAACAAAAATAACAAAAACAAATTGAAATGCATACAAAGCACAAACAGCTGTGTGTGTGTGTGGATGGGTGGGTTGAGTGTACGTGTGCGTATTTGTGTGTGTGTGTGTGTGTGTGCTGAGGCAAAACAAAAAGGCGCGCACAAAAAGAGCAACCAATTTCTTCTTAGAATTTGCATCATATATCTATTTGTCAACAGCAGGCAGTCGGCAGTCGACAGTCAGCAGTCAACAGACGGAGCAGTTGGCATAAAAAGCGACGCTGCAGTCGCAGCTAACGTCGTCGTTGACGCTGCAGTCGCCGCTGTCGTTGCAATTAAATGAACGCACAGAAGTATGCAATGGAAATGGAAAATGTTGTAAATAAAATGACTGAGAGGCAGCCTTACAGTTACTGTTACAGTTACAGTTACATGCAAATATTAAGCAGAGATGAGATTTTGGGGCCAAGCGAGCGAGAGTGAGAGCAAAGAGGTGGTGAGGGGGTGAGGGGGAAGGAGGGAGGGCAAAGATTTGGCAGAGCACGTGGCTAAGTAAAAAAGACGGCAGACAACAGACAAAAGCGGAACATCGAGCATGGAACATGGAACATGGAACATGGCACGTGGCACGTGCAGACAGACACATAAAAGCGGCAAGAGCGGCGCTTATGCGCGCTACGTGCACTCAACACCTGCTCGATGGCACCTCTGCCCCCGCTCTAGCCACTGCTCGAGCCACTGCTGTCCCTTTGAATCCACCAGCACATGAACATGTGTGTGTGTGTGTGTGTGTGTGTGTGTGTGTGTGTGTGTGTGTGTGTGTGTGTGTGTGTGTGTGCCAAGTGCTGGCTGCAATTGCAATTGAAAGTGATAATTTCATTGCATCCATAGAGTCAGACACTGGCACCCGCATCTCCTGCTCCTGCTCCTGCCCACTATCTGTGCAGGAGCACGTGCTTGGCAGAGCCAGCAATGCGCAAATCAGACTTAACACATGAGACACCGAGCAAACGGTGCGTAGCACGGACTTTCCGACCCAGCCAAGCAATGCTCCAAGGCAAGCCAAACCAAGCCAAGCAAAGCAAACCAATTGGGTCATAATTGCCTCCAACTACATACGCCTTCGCCTTTGCCTGCGCCTTTGCTGTTGCCAATGAGTTTAGGGCAGCCGTAAATTGTGAATTTTGAGGCGCATTAAAGCAGGACGAGCTCACTCAGGCATGCATGGGGCTCGCAAGTGTACAGCAGCCGACAAAATGCATATGTAATCAACGATCTAGACGCTATTTTAGAAACATGGCACGTCCATTAATTGATATACATACTCGTAAACGAGCTTTAAACGGTTCCCCGAATTCAGAAGGCCACAGCTGTAGGCTAACAACAACCAATTATACATTAAATATTTGTTGACGTTTGGATGACGGTGTGAAAAATTTGAGTGATTTTAATTAGCAGTCAAAGTATCGCATAAATACATTAATTGAGCTCAAATATTTATGTACTAAAGCAGCTAGCTAGCTTGTTCATGAACAAGAAACTTCAAAATGTACATATCATATCACTTCTATGTATACTAACATTTTAATTTCTAACGTTAAGGATGACGTTAAATGTTTGTAAGAAAGTAAATGCAATTACGTATGCTAAGGCGTATGTGAGCGTGAGGTGAACGGCTCTTCTATTTGAGAGACGTTATACGAGTACAATAAACGTCCAATGGAATAATTTGCAAGACAGGACAGCTGACAAAGGCTTTAATCTTCAATCGTTCAGTGTGGGGCTGTTGAGGAGCAACGAAGGAGAACTCACTTAGCCAGAACATGATTTTCTGTCTATTTCCAAAGCTGAATAATGTTTTAGACTGTGGCTATATTGTTGTGTGTTCTAGCACACGGTTGCAGGTGCTTGCTTGGTTTTTGGCTTGAATTTAAATGAATTATCATTTTATATACATATTTATGATCAAATAGACAAATTGGCAGTGTGCTATTATTAAGGGAATATGCCATATAAATTAATAACTCTGCACCTAAACACTGCAAACGAAAGGAGTGAAACGAACTGTGATTAAAATGTACATGTCTAGTATTAGCTGCTGGGCAACGGGTATTTTGCTCCAAAAGAAAAAGTTGTTCAGTGGAAAGCTAAGTGCTATTATAAATAACAACAAAATCATAACCAAGAATGTTGGGTTCTGCAGTTTCCCACAAAAGAAAAGTGTCATTAGAAGATCAAAATACAAGCGACTTGAAGAGCAATGGCAACATACATACATATATCATCATATACCCGTATAGCTTAAATTCACATAAACGCGAAACAAGGAAAATGCGGTCCTCTAGGAGGACCAATGCAAACAGACAAGCCTGGCCCATAACGAAGTCGCTTAAATTATTTCTAAAATAAGAGTAGGAGTAGGAAAGAATAAATGTCATAGGATAGGAATGGAAAATTAAGCAGAGCATCAAGTAAATGGAAATATATAATTTATTAGAAGCATACTAGTATTTACGAATTATAATAGGGGTAATAAAATTAGAATGATGTGAAAAATTCAAAATGTATATATATACAAGTATTTATAGATAAGATGAAAAATATAACTATAAATTGATCTAAATCAGCAATATATAATTGCCTGCAAATTTCCACCCATCGCTTTGTATTTAGTTTACTGAATCACACATTTTTTAACTGTTGACATTATAAATTTGTAGTGAGCTTTTAATGTTTATATAATATTTTAAAATGAATTATATTTTTTTCTTTCCGCAATCTTGTGTCTATAGGTTTCTTTTTCAAATCTGAAATGTATTTTTTGTGAACGCTAATAAATACATGAGCTTTGCTTTTACAACACTACTGCGGCTACTCTACAACGGCTCCAGTAAACACTGATTGTTATCGATAAGCTCACAGATTTCGACGACATCGACGCTTCGAATTGAACAAATTATCACAATTTAAAAATATAGATGGAATTCTCATACATAGTGGAACGATCTGTGGAGGACGCTAACAGCATTAAGATTGACAACGCATATCGCTTCGTAGCCCAATCCGCTATGTGTGTGGGCATCAAGGCCGAGGACGGCGTTCTCTTAGCCGCTGAACGTGAATTTGTAGGTTCTAGTGTCGCGACTGCACCCCATTCCACATATTCGCAGAAGATTTTTCAGATCAACACTAACGTTGTCTGTGCCTTGGCTGGCTTGTCGTCCGATGCTTTGGCTTTGATAAAGAAGGCTCGCGAGATGGCGCAGATCTACGAAGAGCACGTTAACGAGCCCATGCCGTGCACATCGGTCGCCACCCAGCTGTGTAATGCGAAGCGGACCTACATCGAGGCTGGGGGACTGCATGTTTTCGCTGTCTCTATACTCTATATGGGTTGGGACGCAAGGTACGGCTTTCAGCTGCGTCAGTCCGAGCCTTTTGGATACCACTCGGAATGCATGGCCACGTGCGTGGGCAAGAACTCTAATGTTGTCATCAGCATGCTGCATGAGGAGCTGGCCGGCAAGGAGAAAATCATGCTGGATGAGGCCAAGGATGTGTTAGTCAAGGTGCTTGACAAGACAGCCCCCGATTTCAAGCCAGAGAACTTCGAGGTGG